TAATCGGCCTTATTTTGAAACTGTATACCAGGGTTTGGGGCATTTAGAGCAAGCGGATTACCACCAGGGACAAAAGCGCTCCACCACCGCAGCGATGAGCCACACAGCACAGCTGCACACTAATCTGGCCCCTATTGAAAAGAGGTCAGCAGTGCACTGAGCCAGGTTCGTGAACAAAAGTTACACAACACCGCACGATCTGGGCCTTTTTTTACAAGGCTGCAGGCCTGGCTAAAATACTCGGGTGTCAATGAAAGTCACCTGTCAACTTAGAGTAGTGCCTAAAGATTACTTTGTGTGGCTATAAACGACCGTTAAATGAAATGAATTTTTGAAGGATTTTGAAAACGGAAAAAATGACGGTCATGCCGGCCCAGCATTATCAACATTGAAAAATGCCCCGGCATGAAGTGGTTAATAATAGGTCATTTGTACTTGGTAAATTACCTTGTTATAACACTAACCTTGTATTATCAGGAATGAAAACAATGTAAAACCAAGCAGTGGGACCTAAAAATTTCCTTGTTGTAAGCAGAATCTTATAATAACATGGTTCTTATTAATGAGGTTCGACTGGAGTAACCTTACCCATGTATTGTCTTTTCTCATATTTCAGGGAAAACCAAGAAAGTAGAGAAGGATGAGGAAGCACCTGCTGCCCCATTGAATGGTGTATACATTTTCCCAAATGGAGATAAATATGGTTGGTACTGGCTATGGCCCTCCAATAAATGTTATAATTGTTGTCAATAAAGTATACTGGATACATTCAAGAAATTTGTATTAGGCTATTAGGCATACTTGCAAATACATGTTGGCCTATTTGTATACCTTAACTACGGAAGGTTTGCAATAATGGCATAGGTCTTTGCAACAGAATGCACAAGATTCCAACTACTGAAACGTGTGCATGGCTGATGGTCGTTCTGTAGCCTTATGAAAGTTGGGGATCAGTACCAATCTGCTCTGAGAGGGAAAAAGAGAAAGTATGTTTTCACATGGAAACAGCTGTCCTTTGGTGAGAAATCACTGTTTGGACATGCAAGTTTATACACATTGGGCACAGGGCACACTGAGTATACGCAGTCATTTTACGTTGTGCACTTCAATTTGGTGTGGATTATATAGCCTCCACCTTAATTGATATTTTCTTTTTGTTTTCTGTATGATGAAGGATAACTCTCTCTTTCTGCCAAAAAATAACCATCTAAATGTCCATGTTCTCCTTGCTGTGTACATACTTTTTGCTGTTTGGCTTTGCAGATGGCGAATATAAAGTAACTGATGATGGTGCATTAGAGCGATCTGGAAAGGGTACTCACACAACAGCCAATGGTACAGTATATGAAGGGGATTGGGAACATGATAAAATGACAGGACATGGTCGTCTGACACACCCTAATGGTAGCGTATATGAAGGAGAATTTGTACGCAACCAGTTCCATGGCAAAGGGAAGTACACATGGCCCAATGGAGCTGTCTATCAAGGAAGCTTCAATGAAAACAGGTGGGTGTATTTTGGAGTTGCTGAATGGAAACTGCAAAATATGCGCAAGTTTAAACTTGCCCACAAGGTGTGAGATTGCTCATATTTTGTTGGCTTACTTCGACCTGAGCCTGGGGTCTGTCTAGTATTTCAAGGGTATATATGTATTGGGAAGGATAAAGGAAATTAAGATTGAGAAAACTAAAATTTTTGAAAGTGAAAAGAAAAGTGGCCTTGTGGTCATAATCTTGGCCTTCCAATGAAACATGCAGTCATTCTGTTCCCAAGTATCACTTGGCAGCACTATTTGTCACTACTTCCATTGTTTTCTATGTGCATGATGATGTATTTAGTGTAGTGCAAGCAACCCAGGGGGTTGCAATAAACTACATGGTGTATATTTCCTGTCAGAATTTATGCACAAGGCTGTAACCCTTGAAAGTGTATATACAACTTCTTTCACAAAAGTAGCTATACATGTACACACTGTATGTAGCCGGCAATTCACTAGTACCCTCAGAATAAAAGAATCCTAACCTTAACCCCCTCTAACATTTTTGGATGGAAATTGTTTTTGGGAGTGTTACAGCAACTGATGTTGTATATGGTTTGTTCCTAACAATCAAATTGAAGGTCGAACATTCGACTAGTGAATTATTCTGATTGACTCAGCCCTATTTGTTAACTTCCCATATGGTCCATCAGCAAATCTTGGATGCTGGAAATTTAGTTTGTGAAAATGAATAAACGCGTACAACTTGACACAGTTTGGCCTAGTGCCACGATAGTCAACACTGGTCATGTGGCATCACCTAGTAGACCGATCCATTAAGCCCTTCCCAACTGTATTCTGACCACTCACTGATACCCATCCATTCCTATATGATTTACAGACTGGAACGTGCAGAGTGGCCTGTTATGTGTTAAGTGCCCACATGCGCAATTGTCGGGCTTACTGGATGGGTCTTTTTACTGTGCAGGTTTATCAAAGAGCACCTCTTAAGGAAGACATGTTTCTAGGATTTTTTCTGTTCAAATAAATATGGAAGTATCCAAATCGAAAGCAGTGTCATTTGTCTTCAGAGCTCAACTATAACAAGCTAAAAAGGGCTTTTTTCTGTTCATGCCAAGATGCAAATTCTGAATGTAGATTGCATCATTCAGAGAAAACAGAAAACGAGGGGAACCCTCGCCCTGTCTTTGAAGTGGATAAACCCTTGTGCATGCCAAACCATGCAAGTAGCCATTGTTTGTAGCCACTATTAAGGGTTTATCCGCTGTGAGCACAGGGCGAGGGTTCCCCTCATTTCCTCTGTGTTGTGACCGTACATCTCATGCAGCAGAGGGCGCACTTCAGTCAATTAGTGTGGCAGAGGGCGTGGTGCAATGCAGCCCAACATGACGCATTAGCTGGCCGATGGTATCAATCGCAATCACGTCAGCGAACTGCACAGAATTGCAGGATTTTCAAGGTTCAAAAACAGAATTTGGGTCTACCAGTCCAACTCTAACGAGGGAGGGCTATTCGAGAGGGAGGGGCTGATCCACCAATCTACATTGATGCACTCGGTATTGTATGTGAAGACCCATGTGTCAAACTTTGTGCTGGTATTGAGACAGAATAAAACTGCAATCAAACGACGGAATTCTGTCCTGTTTATGATGATCGTATGAGTTGGATAGAGCCAAGGATAACTGTCCTACACTCCGAATGACAGTCTACATTCAGAATTTGCATCTTGGCATGAACAGAAAAAAGCCCTTTTTAGCTTGTTATAGTTGAGTTCTAAAAACAAATGACACTGCGTTCGATTTGAATGCTTCCATATTTATTTGAACAGATAAAATCAGAGAAAACATGCTTTCCTTAGAGGTGCTCTTCTAACTTGTGTGTGCAATTTTCTGCAATGAAGTTTGAATGCACGCAAAGTTTAAAACTTACACAAATTATTAAATATTTTTAGTTATCACTATGGGATGTGCTTTTCAGAGAAAGGTACTGTAATTATTTCATTATGAAATGTATTCTCTTTTCTTTCAATAAGTCCTGAAGTCCACAGCCTTATTCGTTCAGATTGATGAAGTTTACTAAGCATTAATATGTCAGGACTTGCAGGATTTTCAGAATTTGAATTCTTTCAGTGTTTTAAAGTTCATCAAGATAACCTAAAACAAAAACCTTGTTTCTTTTATTTGGCTATCAGAATGGAAGGTGAAGGGGATTTTACAGACACTGATCATCAAGTCTGGGTTGGGACATTCCGCTTCAGAGCTGCACCAGGACTCAAGTTTAGACTGGGTGTTGTATAACCAGTTTGCTGTGACAGAAGAGAGGAGTTTAATGGAAGGAGAAAGACTAGTCTTATTTCAAGGCTGCTTCAGACCTTTTGTTAAGAATGAATTAACTGTACAGTTGAGATGTTGAAATTGGGATTTGGAACATATAGAATAAAGTTGTAGAGGTAATGGGTTAATGCGTCCTCAAAGGGTAAGACTTATATGTCGCTGGGATAGGCTCAAGTGAACGTACTGTGTATTCATTGTAACTAAATTAAAATAACAATAGCAGCTTCTGAGACACCATGGAGACACCATGGAGACAATGGCAATGCATCTCCTCTATAAAGTGAACTTCAGCCTTTGGGGGTGACAGAGAATCCACCAGATTTGGCCTTGTAATTATTTGAAAAAAATGATTTTAATACTCAAACTGAAAGCAAACTTAAATGTTTACAGAAAACAATTTAAATAGTGCCGATGACCTGTTGCATTTGAAGCAAGATATGGGACAGAGAGAACCTTTGTGTTGGCCATTGTTCGATCGGAATCTCAGGAATTCTTTACAGACTTCTGGGGGGATGTGTTAGATAACAATAGTCTAGAGTGTGTATAGGGATTGGACAGGTAAGGGGGGTACCCCTCCGTCCCATATCTTGCCTAGTATAACCTGTTGTATGAGACAAAAGAAATAGATTGACCCGTTACTGAATGTGTTCCAAGTGGAAATACTAGATCTTTACACCGATTAATTGGAAGACCTTTAAGCAGTGCATGTGATGCTTAATTCCATGTGTCAACTGGCAAGGAATGAGATGGGGACACTCCTTTTCTTCACCACTGCCAAAATCTTCCTGATGCCAAGAGGAACCTCTCTTTAATCAATACAGTTTTTACAGTCAAATAGTGCCTTCATTTGTCAACATGAGAATTTTGTCTCGAGTCTGGTGCTGTCCTCTTCATGGTTAATATGTGTATATCTTCACTCCGATAGACTGGATCTTGCTGGTCAAGAGGCACTTCTTCCACGCTGAATATTTCATGCACAAGCTGTAGACAAATAGAACAACCATTTTTGTAGTTTTTTTGTACATACATGTATGTTAAAATAATGAAACCCCCCATACTCAAACAATTTGGTTAAGGAGGATGGAGTGGAACTGTAGATTGGTGCTGTTCGCCGAGCCCATTCTTGCACGAATCTAGATTTCTGAGTCTATTTTCTTACCACATATTGCTATTTCATTTGCAGAATGAGCAACCTTGGATTTAAATTACAATGCAAATTCAACAATAAAAATTAAGAATTTCTATGAAGGGCACATATCAACCAAAATTGCTTATGGCACTACAAAAATTAACGACACGAAAATTTACAGGCTAACTCTTCAAGCAAGATTATACAAGTATGTTTGGTTGCCATTTTAAATGAACAGAAATTATGTGCTGCACAGTACACTCAGGGAGCATTGATTCAGACAGATCTATCACCTCAGAACCAGTATGACATGTATGATGGAACAACTAGAAGATGTACCTGAGTTTGAGTCAATTCAATTAACCTATAATCCAACACATAAAAAAAAGACTGGGCAAAACGTAGGCACAGAAAAGTAGCCACATTGTGCCACAACGCATCAAATTTATTGCTTATTAAAAGGTGAAGAGAAAATTCAAATCGTAAAAGCATTGATCCTGAAAACACAAGAAGTAACAAACATACCGGTACATTGTTTTCTATGGAGAAAGTCAAACATACACAAGGCCAGAGTGTGAGCGTACCTGGTATCCCTTAACTGTTCCCACTATGCCTGTAACGAGGCCCAGTAGAATCAGTATGCTAAAGTGCTAGTATATTCTTCCCCAACCATCCGGTCACAACTACTTAAAACAGGGACACGAGGGTAACTTCCTCATCAGTACAAATCTACAACAACTAGATTCGTTACAAATCTAATGCAAACTGTAGATCCATTACAAATCTGGGTCTGTCCATGCTCAAAGATACATTTGCTCATAACCAAAATCATCTCGTACTTCAGCAGTATTGAGTCATGAAATGAACTTCAACAATTTTACTAAGTTGTATAATTGTAGAGATACGGTTTACACAGTTTAATAGGATTTGAACGGTCATTGAAATAATCAGGATATTTATGAAAATGTCCAGCTTATTTTTACAGATTCCAGTGGGACATGCATAACTGCGTGAACTCATGTTTTTCAGGTTAACAAAAATACCACTCTCATAAAGATGGGTACTACAGGTGTAACATTTGAGAAATGTGTCAAAATCTATGGCTTTTTATTTCTTGAAATTATCTTGAACAGGAATTTAAGGAAAACTAATTAAGGAATAATGTAGATATGTATCACGGTGTCTGTCCACAGAGTGACAAACACAGGTTGATTTGGCCATGAGCAGATAACCTAAACAAAAACATGTATCTTCCTGAGAACAGTTTTTTTACAATAATACAGTCATTTGCAAAAGTTTAAAACCACCTGGAATTTTATAGGTATTTCTGTCACTGGGCCTGCATTATCTTGTCTCATTGACTGGTTACTTAACAGTGGTGCATAACATCGGTGTAGTGCTACATGTATATACCCATTTGAATGAAATTTTTTGCAAATGCAGGTCTTGTATGACATTTTGTCTGTAAGGCAGCTTGGGAAAAAAAAGCCAGTCTAAGCAATCAGAAATAAAGGAGGGAACACTAAATATTAGACTGTTAACATGTCAAATCATGGAAATGTAGTCAAAAATGTTCAACCAAGGTACCAAGGTGACACATTGAAAATAAACATAAGTTGCCATGATTGATTGGTTTAAGTTTGGTTTTCCTTCAGGCTAATGCATTTTCTATTGGAGGTCCCAAACTTTTGCAAATGACTATAGTTTACATCATATTTGGTGTTTTTTTCTGTCAGATGACAAAATTAAGATTGGGTTTGAGGAATTACAATTGTCTGTCCACTATTTTGTAATGTTTGTCACAACCAATTTTTCCCTCTAAATGTGAAACTCTTGAAGACTTAATTATATAAAAGTAAGTCTTGAAGACTTACATGTATCTTGTAAATACATGTACATTTATTACAAAGCAAAATTAAGTAAAATAATGAACAATTCATTCATTAGAAAAAGTCTGTTCACTTTGCTGAAATAAAAGTGAGAAGACTGAATTGTTTTTATCAGATAATGAAAGTTTCTAAAAGTAAACAAAAAGAGTGTTTAATACATTGCAGGTAATTTTCAATTGCGTTTTGTATTTTTCATATGTAATAAACAAAGTGTCTGTCCATGTGACAAACGTTATCTCTTCAAGAATAAACGTCTGTTATTTCTCAAATACTGCTGAATTTATCTTTACCTTACTGTGGCAACAATTAGAAACAGTGAAGCAAAAAGTAATTTTACAGTTGGAAATTTGTATTGAATGTCATACAAATACATGTCTTTTAGTGAGGACAGACCCATCTACAGTTTGCTATAGATTTGTAAAAATAATCTACACTTTGAACAATGGACTGTCGTCACAGAAATACCGGTAGTTTAAGACTTACTAATCAGGTCACTTCTACAGCCAGGGTGTAAATTGGGTATGATTACTTTGTTTTGGGTTATTGATTTATTCACAGCTTCTGAATAAAGTACACACAACATGATTACACAGGACTGTCAGAACAATTTGGGGTTGCAACATGGGTTTTGATGTCTATTACAAGCCACATCATGCTCAGTAGTCAATAAGGGCAAGTTTGATTAAGGACATTAGTGAACCTTGGTTAAACTAACTCTGATAGTCAATGATAGCTGGACTATAATGTAGTCGACTATTCCCAACTGGCCTACTGAGGTCGTTTGCACGTCAGCTTCACTGCACATGCTAGGTGCATCACAAACCAACCACAAGTTTACGGGTCCTTGATGGAACTTGCTCTAAATTTCAGCTGTCCTGCCCAAGAGCTTGTCTAAAGAAAAAGTCAAACGTCTGTACTTTCAGATTTCTGAGTATTAATTCAAAGAAAAGACTAGAGTTTGACCCACCTTAAGGAATCTGTCTAGAGATTGGAGGTTTTGTCCCATGGTTCTCTCTTCATAGCTACACAGGATGACTGTTTCTGGACCACTCAACTCATTCATTGTCTTCACAAGATCATCAACAGCCTTTAAAAGAAACTTCATGATTAACACCAGTGTAAACAGTGCAAAAGGCTGATGAGAAGGGAGGGGTCAAAATGTAGACTACCAGGCCCAAGATAACAAGTATTTGCTCCCCTTTGCATGTTGCCGCCATAGGCATGCATAGCCTCAAACTGGCAAAGTATACTGTCCAATCGCATGGTATAAGAACTGACGCAACATGCGCAAAATTACTAAGGAACATACACCCGAATCACTGAACCAGCTATGTCTATTGTTTAAAGCTGCCAGATCGAGGCTCTGCATGCCTATGGCAGAGGCATACAAAGAGCAAAAAGTCTGGCACTTTAAAAGGATAAAAACATCTGGAACATTGGGCACAATATAATCCAAGATGGAATTTCAGGCTTTTCATGGTGAAAGACAGCAATACGTGGAAAGGTTTGCGGTAGCACCATGCAAAGGAATATATCTCTTATGAGCATGTGTGGTTCTGAAAAGAACTGGGAGTCTACTCAACGTTTTGGACTGTGTGCTCAGTCCGGCCGAAGGGTCTCCTATACCCAAAGCCAACTAGCTAAGGCCCCTAGTTCTGTTACTGCCCCCACCTACATGTAGATTGTACTTCCCACCACATCCAAGGTATCCTGAGCAAGAATGACATCAAGGTACTCCACACAGCCCCTCTCAAGATCCGCGGCATGCTGACATCCCACAAGGACAGACAAGATCCGCAATACTGACCAGGGGTATACAAGATCCCCTGCCAATGCGGCAAAGTGTATATTTGCGAGACTGCATGGAAGGGACCTCCCCACCAGACTCGAAGAACACCAACCCTTGGCAGGAAGGGAGAGTATGAGAAGTCAGTGATAGTCACGCGTTCCCACTCTGAAGACCACTGCATCAAATGGGACCAGGTGCACCTCATCACCAGCATCGAGCACTGGTACCCAAGACCCATCAGAGAACCCTGATCCCCAAGCACGACACCGTTCCCCAAGACATCGGCTTCTCCATCAGTGACATCTGGCAACCCCTGCTCACCTCCCAGTCCAATGGTTCTCCTATACCCCCGGCCACCTCACCCTGCCCCAACCACTGCCCAACTGACACACCTCACTGACCTTCTGGACCCCGTCCCGCATGAGTGCCCAGCTGAATCCACCACAAGCATTCTCGTCACACTCCACTGCATTCAGTCACCTTATATAAACAGCTTCATCAGTCTCCTGACAATGGACTGAGCGCGGCACGCAATCTGAAATGTTGAGCATTCTCCCAGTTCTTTTCAGAACCATACATACTCATAACAGATATTCCTTCACATGGCGTTACCGCAAACCTTTCCACTTAATATAATTCAAGAAAACAAATGAAATTGAGGGGGGCATTTGAAGAAAGAAACAGCGGTATTATGTATGGTACACATACCTCTAAATAGTAAACACAGTCTGACATCAGAATTACATCTGGATGAGGGAGGAAGTTGGCCACTGAAGCACCCCTACAGGTCAACAAATGAGAAAGAAATTTATAAACCTTTTCCAGAAACTTCAGCCATCTTACAAGCATTATATATGGCAGATGAACAACGGGAGGCTGGAAGGCTAGACTTGTATCTTCATACTCCATTTCAAATTGGCTACTCTGAACAACCCTAACCTCAAGTCTTTAACCCTGACTTCTCTCTTTATACAAGTTACTGAAACCTTCATTGGTTGCAAAATGAAAGGACCTAACCATTGAAGAGTCTTAGCAGTAATGGTCCCTCTGATAACACTTTTGTTGGTATCGATATTCAGCTGCATCAACGGTATAAAATCTTCCAGATCTGTGACCGTCACATCAGCTCTGAAAACATGGAAAATAGTCAAAACTAAATAAACATGTCAAAATTTATCTGATATTTTTCCTGGATGTAGAGGCATATGTGCAGAATGGAGACTGGAGAAATGGCCAAAAGTAATTCAGATTGCTGCAAAGTCATCCAATTATCTAAATCATGCACAGTAACTTTGTCTTGTATCTCTCCATCTGTCTTCTCTGAAAAAAATAATCTGAGATACGATTGAGTTACTTTACTACTTGCATCTCTTAATTGATAGCATTGGGGTGATACTAAGCATTTTTAGTTTTGCTTGGCACAAAAATCTGGGAGGGATGATCCTATGGCACATTCCCCATCCAAAAACTGGGGGAGGGGGATATATTCCCAAACCCTCAGGATTATTATTAATTTCTGGTAATAACATCAAGGATTCTTCAATGGTTCCCTGGGCACTACAGCTCGTAAGCCCGAAGAAACCTGTAGAGACAATGAGAAGCAGTTACAGTTTCAGAGGTGGGAGAAAACCCCAGAGGAATATTCTAGGTAAAACCCAAGGAATCAGGTAGGGACTGAAAACCCAATCCAAATGTGGACCAGGCCACTGCAGGATTCCACCCCGGGCCACAGACTGAGGTGGAAGGCAAGGAAAGAGCCACTATGCCAACCTGACTCTCCTTGCTTGACAGTACTATCTGAAATTAATGATGAAATTAGCGAGCCATGACTGTTCTAAGAAAAACTATGTATCAATAGTAAAATACTACCCAAGTAGACTTGCTGCTAGTCCAACAGCTCCTGTGCCTGCACCAAGCTCAATCACATGTTTCTTCTCCAAACTGTCACGTTTTGGCTTGAAAAAATCCAACTCTAAGAATTTCAACAAGACTAGAGCAGCATCCCACACAACACAGCCGACATCACCAAAGTAACACTGCTTGATAGTTAGATCTTGGCCGTCGAATTCAAGGATTCGATCAAAGTACTTGGGCTGGTCATCCATTGCTGGTATTTTCTGCTGCGGGCAACAAAGACTGAATGGAACACTAAAGGCTGACTGTGGTCATCAAAAGAGATCTTGTATAATGGGGAGCTGATCATCTTCCTGTTGAACCAAGGTCCTGACTGATGTCATGCAGCGTGTATCCAATGTACTTTTTGTACCCACACGTAGCAATAAGAATGGAGGTACATGTAACTACATGTATTTACCATTCTCCTGGGAGGAAAGAGACAAGTGGGGATTATAAATTTGACCTGTCTAACCAAAGACAATATTTAACTAAAAGCTTGAACCCACAAACTCTCTTTCTCCTAGATCAGAATTCAGTACTTGTATGTCGATAGATCTTTCTATATATTTTGCACTCCACAATTACCACGCTGGCACACTGTTCCTTGTCTGTCCTTGTTCATATTGTGTGATGTTGTATCATTGTAATGCAGAATTTGTTTAAAGTCTACATGTCGTCGTGCGCCCGGAAGATCGTAAGCGCTTACAACCTTTTGCCAGGAAGCATAATCGCCGCCAAAAAAATTTTCCCGGAAAAAGGACGTATGTAAGTGTAAGGAGGATGATTGCAATCTTCTACATGTACAATAACTTCAGTTCCCTCCCCCTGGAAAATGATTTTTTTTTAAGCTGGACCCTCCCCCTGGTAAGGTAACATCATTCTTACAGTAATTAGACCCTTGAACAAAGAGCCCCTTTGATTTAGCACCATGTGCTCAGCATTCCCTCTAGACCCACCTGCAGTTTGCAGACTGGCAGTGAAGAGCACACACCACATTTTTATGAGTTCTCAGCCCCTCGCTTAGTCTGCCGTTTTATTCGGTTGTCAAAGCTGTTGTGTTTATTATTTTGCAACCCTCTTATATGCTGTGTTGGCTTTTGGTTACTTTAAGTTTTGCTTGTGGTTAGGTTTTTCATTTTTTTGTTGAAATAGATTCATTTTTTTGCTTGTATTCAGTGCTCGACTTTAAATGTTTTTGAATCCACGCTCCTATTTCTTTTGACCAGCAAAGTTTCATTGGCATCCAATTTTTTTGTAGTTTGACGTAGTTTCATTAAGTTTCATTTAATCTAGTCCCATTCTGTCCAGACATCACACTGGTTCTTCAATTTTTTTGAATCACCAAATTGATTGAGTTTCCTTTTTTTTATATCGTTGTTTGAATTCTGTTGAGCATTGCCCCTAAGCAATAAATTTTGGGATTACCTTTTTTTGGTTTTGTTTCCTCCTTTCTCTAAAATTTGCGGTCGTTTGCCTCCACCTAATTTTCCTTGCGACTCCTCCCTACCCGATCAAATTTGAATTTTTTTTTAGCGAGTTCCCCAAATTCTGGTTTGTTTTTTTGTTTATTTAGACTTAGTTTAGGGTGCCATTTTTCCGTGCTACATATGCAACTGTTTTATTTAAATGAAATATAAAGATTTCTTTGCAATTAGTTCCAAAACAATTTCCCAAAACTGCGGGGTTCATCGTCCGCCGCACTCTCACTCCCACGATCGACGAACCACTTCTGGGTAGTGGAGGCTACATATGTGTACTGTACATGTACTGTAGGGGCCTAGCCTACATCTCCATACATACAAAACCATGACAACTGTGGAAGGAGAGTCAGAATGTCACAGTTTTTCCTGGAGTTCAATTATAGTTCAAAGTATAAGTTATAGTAAGTCACAAAAATTTCTGCCTCCCCACCCAGTATCTTACATTTTACATGTACTTGGTTACCTGTACTGTACAGCGCCGGTGAGCCGCGCCGCACCTCACGTGCACGCGCCGCACACCGATGACTAATCACATGACACCCACACACATGACACATGGTCTGATCTTTGGGATAGCGGCTGGTTGACGATTTCTTGTAAATAAAGGGATCGATCACTACTGTGATTGGCTCTGGTCATCCATAATTTAAGTTACTTTACACAAGTCAAATTTGCTCCAATAAACCCATACATAGAACTATGGCTGAGTAATAAATGTGATTAAAAGTTGTGAAAAAAAGGAATATAAAAAAATTGTTACACTTAAAACTGACCGACATATTCACAGGAAACTTTTGCCGACACGTTTACGACCATGCATGGTACATGTAAGTTTCTGGAGTGATTTCTATTTTTATATTGATGGAAACTAGCTCTTGTCTAGGTCCCTGTCTTCAGTTCCATGAACAGTCACAGAGTCAGCACGACTACAGACATAATAGATAGAGACCGCAGTACTTGAATACAATCATTGTGCTTTCGTTGAAACGTAACACCACTAGCACTGAACACATGAAAACATAGATCATTAGATGAGCATATGTACATACCACATGTACATGTCGACACACGCCCACACCCCTGTGTTAGATATCTTGCTAAAAGTCATATTTATGACCCATTAACTCTTTGTTTTCAAGTTTATATATTGCTGCAACTGATCGGAGTGCCACGACGCTGTTTCAGTGGAACTTTTTGCCCAAAGATCAACGAAAGATATGGAGCGTCGGCTGTTCTTGGTAACCTTGTTGATGTCCGTGACGGTTTTTGTGCAGGTACATGATTTACAGTCATGACAGTAGAAGTTAGAACTATATCAGAACTACATTATGGAGGCCTATTCTACCCCCACTTCCAGAACTGTGGGGTCCGTCACCACCCCGTTTATGGGAACGGGCATTCTGGGGTAGGCCTAGAGTATGCTAGTACTACTGTAGTACTAGTACATGTAGATAGCCCCACTATTTGCACTGACTAGTGTGGCACGGATTGTCACTCCTGCTCCATCCACATTCGTATATGCAATATATAGCCACACATTCGTATATGCAATATATAGCCACACATTCGTATATGCAATATATAGCCACACATTCGTATATGCAATATATAGCCACACATTCGTATATGCAATATATAGCCACACATTCGTATATGCAATTTCATGTCGGCGTTCTGAACATTTTCGGTGCACCCACTTATCATTGTGGGCACAATTTCTTTTGCATACAAAGATGATCCTTAGCCTCTCTGCTTTCTTAGTGCCATTTATTGAATGATTTCTTTTACGGTGTTCTGGTATTTTCCAGTCTTGTTGCCTTCACCCATTCAATCTCACAGGCTCGCTCTTACAGTCGCCATCTTTAAAATAAGGTAATTGAACATTACGTAACTTGACCCCTCATCGTCTCGACGGCTGTTCCAAGACATATCTAATCTGCTGCCCAAGTTTTGGAAGAGTCCGTTGGTACATGTACATGTAGTATCTTATCACTCAGTCTGTGTATTACATTTGTAGATATGTTTTGACATGGAACAGCCGTCGAGACGATGAGGGGTCAAGTTATGTAATGTTCAATGACGTTATTTTAAAGATGGCAACTGTGCCCTCGATGAAAATTTTCAGTACACCGACACGAAATTGCGTATACGGATGTGTGGGTAAGGATGGATCGGGAGTGAGAGTCCGTGCCACACTAGTGAG